CCTAGAGAGTAGGACTAGAGGGAACATACCTGTACATACCTATATATGAGGAAAACGGGAACATACCTGTACATACCTATATATGAGGAAAACTACAGCCAACATTATTCTAAATTGAGAAAAACATGAAGCAATATTATACAGAAGAGATCCTAAAATTCTGCCAGAAAATGTCTAGAAATGATCAACAATTTCATCAAGGTGGTAGGATAGAGAACAAACTTGCAAAGTCAATACTTTTTCTATACACCAACAACAAACATACAGAGAAAGAGATAATGGACATACTCTCAATCACAATAGCCCCAATGAAAATAAAATCTCTAGAAATAAGCCTAACCAAAGAGGTGAAAGACCTCTATAATGAAAACTTTAAATCTCTGAAGAGAGATAAAGACACTAGAAATCAATCAAAAGCTCCATATTATTCTTCACAGAAATAGAAAAAAACTATCCTAAAATTCACGTAGAAACATAAAAGACCATGGATACCTCAAACAACACTGAGCAAAAAGAGACAAGCAAGGCTGGAGCCATAGTAATAAAAACAATATGGTACTAGGACAAAAAAGGCATGCAGATCAATGAAACAAAATTGGAGACACAAACGTGAGTTATGTGTAACTATGGCCATCTAATATCCAGTCTAAATTCCCCAAAAAAAATTACTCTGGGGAACAAAAAACAGTATCTTCAACAAATGATGTTAGGAAAACAATGTCCACATATAGAGGAATGAAAACAGGTCCAGTTGCACAAAAACTAGCTAACTCCAAGTGAATCCAAGACCTAAATGTGAAACCTGAAATAATGAAATTCCTAGAAGAAAACATAGCCAGTACTCTACACAATATAGGTGTAGGAAAGGACTCTGAATAGGATCTCATTTGTCCAGGAAAGGAGGCCAGCAATTGACAAGTGGGACTCATAAAAATAAAAATCTTCTGCACAGCTAAGAAAACAACTGATTGAAAAGGAAGCCCACAGAATAGAAGAGAATCTTCGCCAGCTGTATCTGGCAGAGGATTAATATCCAGAATACACAAAGAACTAAAAAACAAACTGAAAAAAATGACCCATTCAAAATTGGGCTAGGGATCTGAACAGAAAGTTCTCAAAAGAAGAAATAAAAATGGCTAAGAAATATCTCAAAAATGTTCAGCTTTCCTAGCAATTAGGAAAATGCAAATCAAAATGAGATTTGAGATTTCATTTTACCATAGTCAGAATGGCAAATATCACCAAAATAACCAACCAACAAGAAATGTTGAAGAGTATGTGATAAGGGGCAAATCCTCTTTCACCCTTGGGGGATTGTAAACTGATCTGGTCACCATGGAAATCGTGTAATAAACCCTCAAGAAGCTAAAAAATAAATCAACTATCTGACCCGGTTATACCACTCCTTGGCATTATGCCCAAAGAACTTGACATCTTACTTTGCAGATATTTATTAGTCAGTTCACTGCTGCCCTATTCACAATAGCTAGGAAATGGAAACAACCCAAATGACCTTCAAACAATTGGTGGATAATAAAAATGCACTATGCATACATTATGGAATGCTATTCAGCTATAATGAAAAATGAAATAATGAACTTTGCAGGTAAATATATCTAGAAATGGTGATATTGAGTGAGGTAACCCAGGCCCAGAAAGACAAACACTGCATGTTTAATTTCATCTATCATTCCTAATTAAGGAGGGGGAAGATAAATTTAGAAAGGAGGGAGGTGAATAAAGTAACAGTAAGGGTATCTAAAATGTTATAAGGAATAATATTATTTTCTAGCTAAAATGACATATAACACATGTATGTCTATGTATACATACGCAGTTTAAATTAAATATTTCCATCTGGGCTGACAATGCTTCTCCCAAAGGCCATAGATTAACAAAATACCCAACACCAGGCACGAGAATCCTGTTTTTGAGTTGTTGGTCAGGTTTGTGCAAGAGACTTCCAAAACATTACAGGCTGTTACTGTTGTCCTTTATTCCCCAGAAGAGGTTGAAGTTAAGTTCTTATAGCTGAAGAAGCCATGTACTTCAGACAAAGGATTCAGAGGCCCTAAGCTGGATTTGACCTGAAAGCCTACTCCCTGGGTATCAAAAGGCACCATGCCAGTTTCCAAGAGGGCACCAACAAATATCTCTATCCAGCTATATGAACCACAACAGTGACCAACATGACATAATACCCCTAAGGGTGCAATAGTGGCATACACACCTTGGCATTAGCCATCCACTCTGTAATTGGTCTTAAGGCCTTTACAACAAAGAGAGAAATCATGCCTAGTATTGGCCACCTAGCCAACTACCTAGGGATAGTGAAGTCATGAATCTTTAGGTAGAACCTACAATCACCACTTTACTAAACCAGCATAATCCCTAACTACATTCTAAATATTTATCCTTACTGCTACAGATTAAGTAGTTCTCACCCCTCACCTTTGCAATAGATTGGTACCATTACTGGAAACCACAACTGATAAACATACAAAGAACAAAATAGCATGTGGTTCCCCGCCCAAAATGATATGTCTACAGCACAATTATTGCAACTAAGGCCAGGGATCACTGAGGAAGAGGAGTAATAAAGATTGTATGAGCCAGAAGAAGAGGAAGTCTAGTGTGGGATTTTTGTCTCCTAGAACTGCCAAAGAAGCTACACCCATAAAGTGTCATTAGCATGGCTGCCTAAACAATACCTGAACAATGACAACACCAATGACCATGCCAATGTAGGAGGAGAAAAGCTCTTGCCTCAACCCTGTACAAACAACTACTAGCACCAGGGGAATGGTGCAACCTGGAGAAATTGTCTTCCCCAGAGAAGAACCTCCAACTGGTTATCCAATACCAAATGGCCAGGCCTGAGATCATATGCATATAGGTAACATTATACAGACTGAGTGGGATTTATTTATGTATACATAAATATACATATATTTAACAACAAGTAAGGAAAAGGGGCCATGAATTTGAGCAAGAGCAAGGGGAAATGTGAGGGAGGGGGACATGTGAGGGTGGGGTTAGAGGGAGGGAAGGGAATGGGGAAATGATGTGATAATTATAATTTCAAAAAATTATGGGATATGGGATGGGGGTTGGTGGGGGCATGGGTGGATGAGAGGAAGAGGAAACTGAGACTGGTATGTAAAATAAGATTGTTTTTAGTTTAAATTAAAAAAATTCTTTAAAATCATATAGCATCGAATTTATCATTAACTACTTTTAAGTGTATCATCTAATAGTACTAGGTATATGCACACTGCACCTCTTTAAAACTAAAACTCTGCTCCCATTGAACAATTCTTGGACTGAAAACATAGTTCAGTGAGCAACACTTGCTCAGTGCATATTTTCAATGGCCAATAGTACAAAACCAAAAATAAAAAGCCTATTGTTGAACAATTCCACTTTCCTCCTTGCCCTATCCCTTAATGGCCACAATTCTACTATCTGTTTACTGCACGAAGTGTAATGTAGTGCAGACAGAACAACTACTGTCAAATGATACACCATCGCTACAGCTTATCTCATTTCAAATCCTTCCAACGGCCCTATGAGATCTGTTTGATTTTGTTATTTTATGGTTTAAGCAAATAAGGCTCAAATCTGTTAAGTAAGTTTTCCAAATGCCACTCAGCCAATTATAGCCTACAACATTCAAAGATGTTTTCCCCAAATCCCTTGTTCTTTCCATTAGGACACTGTCACAGCTGTGTTGATTTGATCAATATCCATGGGGACGACAATCAAAACTAAATGCATTGGCCTGTTTCCTCAATGCCTAATTATTTGTTTTGTTTTAGTTTGGAGAAGATGTAGGCATGCATGTGTGGGTTTTCCTGAAATACTGATAAGAAACAGAACAGACTCTTAGAAAAATGTAAGCCTGGAATGTTCATAATAAATCTCTAACATTCCAAGTTTATATGATCAGCACATTTGGACATATTTTGGTATAAATGTGAAAAATACAACAGTGAACATTAAAGCTATAGCAGAGAAGTTGTCAAAGACTAGGCATATGATCGTGAATAAATACCCTAAATTTCAAAACCCTAAATTACACAATTAAGCATAGTCTTTGCTTCTGACTACATAAACAAGACAAAAAATATCTGAAGTCCGAATTGCTCAGGTCTTTTGCCTATTTGGGGGGTTAATATTCCTCTGATGACTATGTCTTTTTGGTGTAATATTTAATATTGCACTATTCTCTCTTTTTTTCAAATCTGGCCATTTGCCTGTCTACCCAGATGTCTTAGTTAGGGTTACTTTTGCTGTGATGAAGCACTATGTACAAAAGAAACTTGGGGAGAAAAAGGGTTTGGCTTCCATATCCCAAGTCGCCGGTCCCTTGAGGGAAGCCAAGGCAGTAATTCAAACTAGCTGGGAACCTGGAAGCTGGAACTGAAGCGGAGGCCATGAAGGATTGCTGCTTACTACTGGCTTGCTCCTCGTGCCTTACTCAGCCTGCTTTCTTACAGAACCCAGGAGCACAAGCCTAGGGATGGTCCCACCCATGATGGGCTTGACCTTCCTCACATCAATCACTAATTAAGAAAATGCCCTACAGACCTGCTCCCAGCCAGATCTTATGGAGGTGTTTTCTCAGCTGAGGTTCTCTCCTCTCAGATGACTCTAGTTGGTGTCACTTGATATAAAACTAGGCAGCACAACTGGCCCCTTGTCTACTTGACACACAAGCACATCACTTTTCAGTTAGAACCTTTCCTTTCTGGTTTCCCCCAAGGTGTTATTTTAATAATATCACAATATAAAACATAAATTGAAACATTTTAAAAATCCATTCTCTTTAAAAATCCAAACTCTCTTTAAAAGTTCAAAATCTCTCAACTGTGGACTCTTGTAAAGTACAAAATAAATTAGATATTTTATTTTTAAGGGGGCACAGTCACAAGCTGAACAAAGCAAAACCAATGCCATCTTGTAAATAACTCAGTGCCCAATGTCTGAGATCCACTCACCATCTGGGTTCCTCTAAAATGCCGGGTCACTTCTTTGGCTCCACCCACTGCAGCCAACAAAAATTGTCTCCAAAGCTCAGGCTGGCTCCATCAACTGATACTGCTGTTCTTGGAAGTCACCCAATGGCACTGGCATCGCCAAAATACAGGGGTCTCACTCTACAACTGAGCTGCACTTTCACCAGTAGCCTGTTCCTGGGCTCTCTTCATAACTCCAGCCTTGCCACACAGCGATATTGCAGTCTTGCCTGTAACAGTGGCCACACCCCCTTGGGCGTGGCCTCAAGCTTCCCTCTTTCCTGTTCGGTCCACCTGAGGCCACACCCTTTGGGCGTGGCAACTGTTACCGGCAAGACTGCTACAGTGCGGAGCCTGAGCTATTCTCCATTACCCCTTCATGCCTTCAGAACCCGTTCCACCTGAGTGATTTTTAGCCTACCAAGTTCAATTGCCAGTGCGAGGTACAACCTTGGCCACCTTTGGAACACATCTCTGTGTGCTACCCTTGAGGAAACACTTCCTGGAAGATTTCTCTTCAATGAGCTGGTCTCTTAATCACTGCCAATTTCTCAGTTCCCCCTGACCAGCATGGATTTTCCCCGAAAAGCAAAGCTTCACTTCCATTGTTCTGGCATCGTGTTATTCACAGACAGCTCTTAAGCCCCACCAGACCTGAACCACGGATTCTTAATTCAAAATATGCAACGGCCCCAATAGAGTTTTTAAGTGACTCTCAAATTTCCCTTTGAAACTTCACAAGCCAGGCCTCCATAACCTTCAGTACTCTTATCTTCCAAGCTCCCACATAACTGCTCACCAAACTTTGAAGACCCAATGGCTTTTCTAGCCCCAAGTTCCAAAGTCCTTCCACAATCCTCCCCAAAACAACATGGTCATGTCTGTCACAGCAAAACTCCACTATCCTGATACCAATTTCTGTCTTAGCTGGGGTTACTGTTGCTGTGACGAAATACCATGACCAAAAGAAACTTGGGGTAAAAAAAGGTTTATTTGACTTAATTTCCTGAGTCACAGTCTGCTAAGGGAAGCCAAGGCAATAACTCAAACTGAGTGGGAACCTGGAGGCAGGAGCTGATGCAAAGGCCATGGAGAGTGGTGCTTACTGGCTTGTTCCTCATGTTTTGCTCAGCCTACTTTCTTATAGAACCCAGGGCCACAAGCCCAGGGATGACACCACCCACAATGGGCTGGGCATTCCCCCATCAATCACTAATTAAGAAAATGCTCTACAGGTTTGCCTACAGCCCAATCTCATGAAGACATTTTCTCAACTGAAGTTCCCTTCTATCACACAATTCTAGCGTGTGTTTAGTTGAAATTGAACTAGCCAGCATACCAGCCCATAGAGTGGTCAGTAGAAGACAAAAATTTCAAAAGTAAAGTACTTGCGGGACAAAATTATGCCAGGTATTATGTATTGTATGTCAAAACTAACCCATTCTTAACAATAAAAAATGTTAGTTAAACTAAACTTAGTCTGTCAGTATATGTGAGGACTCACGTGTATTATAAGTATTGTGGAGCTGGAGAATAAAATGTGCATGTCTTCTAAGTTATTATGCCTTAATGTTCCTGAGCCAAAATTTTTGGCTTATAGTAATTTGCAAAATTATCCTTTCTCTGTATTTTTCTCATTTTCATAGGCTGAACTTTTAAAAAGTAGCAATGCACTTAGTTATGTTTAATGATACAACTATTCCTATAAACCTGAGAGAAAAACTTAGTTTGGTGTCATTGTTTTTCATTTTCATCAGCTGAATAGTATATCACTAAAAGTGAAATGAAGAGTAGCATCTATCAGTGAAAGTAGAAGCAGTTTAATCCTTTGGGGTCCAGTAGCAGTCTTTTGATGAGTTTGCCAAGCAAATAACCCCTCTAATTACATTTTAAAAATTCCAGAGTTGAAGTAAAAATTAATTCTAGGAAAAGGTCTCTAAATGGCAGGATATAGCTTGTAATAATTTCTCTTGTAGCTTGTTTGAATTCACATCAAAGGGAACTGCTATTCCATCCCACTCAGGCCAATCTTGGACGCAAAAATAATCACTGTTTCTTGTTCGCTTTAACAACTATGAAACATTATAATTGTGAAAAAATACTAAAAATAAAGCAAAAGTGGCAGACAGCAGATGAAAGAAAATTTAGGCATTAGAAAAATAATCATGTTTATAGAAGGCTGACTTCTCAATCTGTTGTAGCTTCTCTGATTTACACTCTAATTCAGAGTTGAGAAACAAGTACCTCTTTCCAAATTCTTAGACTGAATGTTCCATGATCTACTTTATTCTATAAGGCTTTCCTGAACTTTAAAAGGAGTCATGACCATCAGCTACTCTTGAAGGAAACAATAGGTTAAAAAAATAGGTGATCAGTTTTCTATGACTGAGTATAAAAGTATCACATTTCTCTAGAAAAATTAAAGTAGAAAGGGCCATTGACACCTACTTCTTCACTTGGCAGGACAAAGTTTTCTTTTCACTGAAGCAGAAAGAGTAAAGGCCTCAGTAAGGCACTGATACATTTTTATGTGATACCCCAATGATACAGTGGATATAAAAAAATATAAGAATGTGACTAGAAAGATCCTCCAAATGACTACTATGTAGTCATTTTGTAGTCTGTGTATCCTTTATCTATACATAAAATATTAAAGTTTCCTGCCACATATTATCTCTAGCTTTATGAAAAGGTTTTGTTACATTGAGCATGTCATGATAGGTAAGCCAAATGATCACACCAGGCAGACATCAGCAATCCAGAGAAAGTCATCCATTACATTATTATGAAGTAATTTTCAAGGGAGTTATCTGATGTGGAACATATTATACTGGTAAGTAAAATACATATAACCCATAAATGTACTGTGTGAAGCTTCTTTACTGTCATTAAAATAATGGCCACAGTTCTCAATCCATTAGGTTCTATGAGATTTGGAATTTAACTATAGCTAATGGGAGTTACTCAAAACATGGTCTGTAATTCCTGGATATGCTACTAAGATGTCAAAACAGTATTTTTCTAGTCTTAAAATTTTCCCCAATGAAGAAGAATCCAGTCTTCTAGCATGTATAAAGACCTTCTAGTCTCATGAGTCATAAGGAAATAAAGGTAAAATATAGGTATAATTCAAGATATAGTAACTGATACATGATTTTTTCCTATTCCTTCCACTCCCATTATTTCTTTTTTTTCCCCAACCCCCCCCCCGTTATCCCCTCATTCCCCCAGGGAGGGTGAGGCCCTCCATGGGGGTGTCCATAGTCTGTCATTTCATATAGGGCAGGGCCTAGACCCTTCCCCAAGAGTTCAGGGTGAGAGTGCACCTCACATTGTTCTATGGGAGTCCAAAGTCCGTGTGTATACTTGGGATGGGTACTGATCTGCTGCCCAAGGCTCAATAGATTACCTGGGCCTCCTCACTGACACCCAGATTCAGGGGGGTCTTGTTCAGTCCCATGCTGGATTCCCAGGCTGATGCCTGGGATTCAAGAGTTAACCTTTGTCTGGTCAGTTCCCATAGAGCTTTATGTTTGAACTACACTTAACACACCCTTAGTACTCAGAAATATTTTAATATAATCAAAATATTAACTTAAGAATAAGCTACAGTGTATCAGAGCAACAAAACTTTGGGGTGTCCTGGCCAGTAAATGTTGCAGCTTATTTCACTAACAAATATGTTATGGCCATAAGAATCAAAAGAATTTCCAGCGCCACCGGACGGTGGTGGCACCTGTCTTTAATCCTAGCAATTGGGAAGCAGATCTCTGTGACTTTGAGGCCAGTCTGGTCTACAGAGCAAGTTCCAGGACAACCAGACCTACACAGAGAAATTCTGTCTCAAAAAACCAAAGATAAACAAACAAAAAAGACTATCCAGTGTTTGTGGAGCAATTGACATAGAGGTAAATATTGAAAACAGTGCTAAAATCAGGTCAGAATATTAGAGTTGGTGTCCTGATGAGAAAGCCATAAAGAAAATGCAAAGTATACAAAGGAGTTCACATGGAAATCCAGACAAATGTTTCAGTATTGTGGAGCGAACTTAAAATTCTCTACAAGAAAAAGCCTCTTGTGAGTGACCTGTGGACTAATGCTTAATCCAGGTGAATCTTACAGTCCTGTAATAATCCTATAAAGACAGTCTGCTACGGATTTTCTTTTTTATTTAAATATATTTCTGAGTAAGGGAACTCTGATATGGAAAACAGACAAAAAGCAGAGCTGGTAAGGCTTGAAAACAAGTTAGGAGAGTGAAAGCACTGTAATTGCTTTCTCTTTCCCTAACTACTCCTTCATTTGCATTGTCCCCTTCCAAAATATCTCTGGGAAACAGCAGGACTCAGCAAAACACAGCTTACAGGTCTCTGTACCAGTCTCACTACTCATTTTATAGGAAGAGAAAAGAAATATGACAAAGGTTACATAGGACATCGGTCAAGGAATAACACTGAGGTTGAGATCATAAACTCTAGTGTAAGACTCCTTAAACATGAGCCTTATTTTATAGGTTAGCATTGAATGACTTAGAGTATTATACTTAATATCACTTGCTTCTGTGTCTCAATTTGTGAGCTGCAGGTAACAAAATGAATTATACATAAAATGCACAGATCAGTTTGGTGAATGTAAATATATCCCAAGAATTCTTCTAACATACCATGTTGTCTCTTATGTAGTCTAAAACCCATTTGATCATATGATCTTTGAACTAGACTTAGGGATCCATCAAGTAATTAGAGAAATAGTCTTGTGAACTTCTTCATGTGCTATGCTGAAGCCTATTGTAATGTTATTGAAAGACCATGGATTTTGTTTTATAGTGCATCTACTTTGGCATCTCAGGTCCATTTCTTTCTAACTTTATGATGCTGCAAATTGTTAAATCCCTTTAGAACTCAGATTTTACATTTTTAAATTCTTAGTAATTACTACTTTCAGGAGAAGTAGTCACAGAACCAAACTTTTTTTAGAAGCACTCTTATTTACATATCAATCATCTATTCCCTTGCCCTCCCATGATCCCCACCGACCCCTCAACCCACCCCCCCACCCACTCCCCAGGGATAATGAGGTCCTCCCCAGGGGACCATCAAAGTCTGTCACATCATTTGGGAGAGGGCCTGGGCTGCAATGGCCTGGGCTGCAATAGTATCCCTCCATAGGGAATGGGCTCCCAAACTCCATTTGTGCTCTAGGGATA